GGGTCTCCAAGCCACTCCCACCCACCCCACCCCCACCAAAACAGGGACTCCCCAGGCTGCTCCCTCTGGTTCCAGGTGAAGGCTTTGGGCACCCACAGATGGCCTCGGTTATCTCCTGTGCTATGGGCCCCGTGGGTCCCGTGGTTACCCTTTCCCAGCCTCGGCTTCTGCCTGCCCCAAGCCCACCCCAGCCAGCTGATCCTTTGGTTTCACGGATTCTGGCTCTGTCCTTAATAGGTGGCACCTACTTCCTCATCTCCCGGAGTCTCGGCCCAGAGCTCGGGGGCTCCATCGGCCTCATTTTCGCTTTTGCCAATGCTGTGGGCGTGGCCATGCACACCGTGGGCTTTGCAGAGACTGTGCGGGATCTGCTCCAGGTAAAGCTGGGGGCTGGACCCCAGGCAGAGGGAGCCCGGTGAAGCCTACCTCACTCTCCCCTCCCCCCACCTGGGCCAGGCCTTCCTGCCCCTCTGCCCCACTTTGCCTGCCAGGCCGCTGTCTGCTCTCTGTGGGTGACTGGGTGATCTCATCACATAAAGACCATTCCCAGAAGTCCCCTTCAGGGAGGTGTGTTGCCTTTAGGGCCAAACTGTCCAGGCCGATACAGCACGACTGTGGATGTTCTGTGGGTGGGCGAGGTGGTTGTGTTTGTGCTTTGCTGAGAGGGCACCTGTGATGGAGGGGTGGGGTGTGCAGCCCGGCCTGTGCCCCGCCCTAGGAGTACGGCACGCCCATCGTGGACCCCATCAATGACATCCGCATCATCGGCGTGGTCACCGTCACCGTGCTGCTGGCCATCTCCCTGGCTGGCATGGAGTGGGAGTCCAAGGTGAGGAGGGGATGTTGGGAGTGGTCAGGTGAAGAACATGAGTCGTGAGGCCCCGGTCCTGGGCCCGGCCCTGCCTCTTCTCGCTGTATTAGCTGGGCTTTCGGCTCTGCTGTTGTGACAGAGACCCTGAGGGCGGGGACTGGAGCAGGACCAGTGTGTTTTTCTCACCTGTAAAAGTCCGTGTGTGTGTGTGTGTGTGTGTGTGTGTGTGTGTGGCTCCCATAGGCTCAGGCGCCCAGACGGTTTCTGTCCTGTGGCTGCTCCATCCCTGGGTGTGGCCTCCGTGCACCTGCTCCACGGCGGCCACGACCACCACGTCTACAGTCCACTCAGCAGGAAGGGGAGAGGGTGAAAAGGAGCGAATTCCCCTTCCTTTTCCTTTTCTGGCACCATCTGGAAGTTGCTCATGTTCCTCTACTTCCATTCCATCAACTAGAACTTGATCTCTCGGCCACACCTAAGCTGCAAGCAGGGCAGGGAGACGTGGTCCTCACATGAACCTGTATCCAGCCAGAATTCAGAGGCTTGGCACCGTGGGGCGAGGGCAGCAGAAATCTCGGGCATCAGCGGGCAGACTGGCCAGATCTGCCGCCGCCTGCCCTCTCTCCCCCTCCCTCCGGCTTCCGGCTCTGTGGCCTCCTCGCCGTTCTTTGAGTGTCCCAGGCTTGTGCCCCCAATCATTCTGCTGTCACTCATCCCCTCCTTTAGGACCCTTGAAGATACCTTTGCAGGCCACTCTGCTCCATAGCCCCACCCACAGTCCCCATCACACCCTCGTTCTTTCCCCGGAGTCGTGTTCCTTCCTTATTCATCAGCAAGACAAGCCAAGAGCTTTGCTATGTGGTCGACTCCCAGCACGGGACCTGCAGCATAATGGGTGATGAATGAATGAATGAATGAATGAATGAGGACGGGATCCTGGACAGGTTCTGACCTGCTGGGGCTCCCTGAGCAGGTAGGGCCAGGCCATCTGACCTCTAGGGTCCTTTACCACCCCCCAGGCCCAGGTGCTTTTCTTCCTCGTCATCATGATCTCCTTTGCCAACTACTTAGTGGGGACGCTGATCCCCCCATCTGAGGACAAGGCCTCCAAAGGCTTCTTCAGCTACCGGGGTACGTGCAAGTTGGGGCCCCTGCCCATGGCTCTGGGGACAGGTACAGTCTGCCCACCGGTTGGGCCCATTCTGTGAGCATGAGGAAGATGAGACCCACCCCCCAACTCCCAGGGCCAGGAGCTGCCAGAGAGGAGCCTCCTGCCTGGCTGGCTGGGCCCAGCCTTCCAGGCATCCCTGATTCAGGCTTTGGTCTTCCAGCGGACATTTTTGTCCAGAACTTGGTACCCGACTGGCGGGGTGCAGAAGGCAGCTTCTTCGGGATGTTCTCCATCTTCTTTCCCTCGGCTACAGGCATCCTGGCAGGGGCCAACATCTCTGGGGACCTCAAGGTGAGCCAGACGCCCCCCCCCCCCCCCCCCCCCCCCCCCCC